AACGAGAAACAAGCTTCTGGTCACAAAGTTCAGAAAGATCGTATCACAATTTTCCCATGTGTCAATGCTACAGGAACGCACAAATTGCCACTTGTGTGCATCGGTCGCTACGCAAAACCACGCTGTTTCAAGAACTGTGGTGTGAACTCATTTCCCGTTTAATACAAATCACAAAGCAAAGCATGGATGACCTATCAGCTTTTTTCAACTTTGTTTCAAGAAGAGTTTGTACCCGCTGTGCGGTCTCACTTAGCCAGCGTAGGGGTTTCTCAGCGTGCATTGTTGCTTGTTGACAATGCCGGCTCACACAGTCAGAAAGGGAGCCAATTAGAATCTTCGGATGGCAACATTAAATGTTTATTTTTGCCGCCAAACACCACGTCAAAACTGCAACCGCTAGATCAGGGTATCATTGCCACAATGAAGAAATTTATCGCCGTAACATGTTGCGTGCCATTGTTGATGATGCTAATGACAGTGAAAGACGCATTGTTTATGATCGCCGACGGTTGGGATCAAATAAAACCTTCGACCATTCAAGGGTGTTGGTTCAACGGTCTTGGCGTTGGTAACGATCGTAGCAGTGATGTCATTACTAATGGCGACTTGGTCAACACAGACATCGTGGAAAGTTGCCATGAGCTCGGACTTGGCGAATTGAACGCAACTGAGATCGATGAATGGATCAGTATTGACAACAACATCAGTTCAGAGACATTTTCCGAAGAGGAAATAATCGACATTGTGACAAATAAAACACAAGAGACAGCCATTGAGGAAGACATCGCAGAAAAGGAGAATTTAGCACCAGTCGAACCCCCGATCTCAGTTGCCGATGCCGTCAATGGGTTACAGCTTTTCATGGACTGGTACGAAACTCAAGATACCGCGGAATCTATCAAGTTAATGCAACTTCGCCAACTTCGTTCAATGGCAAAGCTACAGAGAAATTGCCAACTGAAACAACAACGCCTTGATGTATTTTTTAAGAATCCTACTCGGCTATAAATGAACTGATCGGACTCGCACGACGTACGTACTTTTTGCATACAGTGTTTTTCGGGAACACTTTATTTATTTGCAATTTAATGAAAATAATTTTACTTGTTGTACAATATTTATTTCATGACAATATTTTGATCAGAAAGGTGTTCTATTTGTAATTGATGACGATTGGTGTGTAAATAAAATACAGCAAGCAATGAAATTGTGTTTATTTTCTGCGTACGTGTTTATTTCATGGTTCGAATCAATTATCCGAACAATCAATTATCCGAACTAATTTGCCCCCGCCCACTTGGTTCGGATAATCAAGGTTCCACTGTATATTACTATAAACAGAACTATACATCTTAAATTTTATTACTAACACGGACTGTGCCAAGCAGTGTTAATTTTAGTTCTACCATTTATTCAACCATTCACAGTGCAAATTGGTATCTGTGCCTGGTGTCACAACATCTAGAAAACCTGCAAGTGTTATAACATTTTGTCATACTTGCAACTTTTGAACTAAAACCCCTGCTAGAACCCGAACCAGAATCTCTGGTTAGATGTCAGCTCTGAATATCTTGCTGTGCTCGACAGCTAGCTGTAGTTAATGGGATCAAAATTTTATAATAGCAAGCCCATAACATAACGGCACAATTTTAGACTCAAGATCAATACAAACTTGCTGTCGAATGTCGTCTCCAGCAACGTAGTTTACCGATAACCAGTTTAGAATGCATCTGTAAAATATCATTGGTTAAATCAAAGGCAGTAAAATTTCTATAATGTGTTTTTGTAAATTGTATCATTTAGCAATCCTGTCTTGTTTTTATTGGTAGTTCTTCTGTGAAAGGATTGGATTCTCCACAGATGGTTGACTCACCAGCCAGTAATGATGGCACTAAAACTGCCAGCTTTGCAAGAGGCAAAGCTATTGCACAGAAAGCTGTCACCACTCAGGTGAGAAATATGCACTTAGTTTTAATTGTAGTTTATGTTATCCATTCACCACTACTTACAATCGTGTATATGCTTGCACTTGCATGCTGAATTTAGTTAGAATTTCTCTCAGAGCATTTCAGGTATTATTTGTTTGGATTTTTTGGGAACAAAAGAATAAATTAATGACAAAGGCATCAATTATACCTATTTTATATGCAAATTTGCCACAGTGCTTGGGCATTTTCTTCTCTACAAATCACATTGAAACAATGAATTACAAAATTGGTTGAATGACCAGAACTTATTTGCTTATAATATAAATAAGTTTTCATGAAATAAACTTCCTCAAAAATATGGGCGGTTAGGGTTAGCAGGAACACTATATTATTTGGCTATAATTTCATAAAATTTCCAACGATCCTATTTGTGGATTATTCAGGAATAAAGGAATTATGATCATGTGTTACTTTCTGTATGCATGCTGCCACTGTTTAATCAGTTTAGAATCCATGGCAACCCACCTTGTTGCAATTCAACACATTTATTTGTCAAGCTATTAGTTTCCACATGGTCTAACTTTATTTTGCATAGTGTGTTAGTATTTCTGTACATATGGGTTATAGCAGGTGATTATTTGAGACTACTAACACTACTATTTGATGTTTGCCTGTATTACCATATTTATCTGAGAGATCGCCCACTAAACCAAAGCTCCAGTGGGCGCTGTTTCAGCACCTGGGTGATCTTTTGTTGCCACAAAAAGAAAGAAATACCAGAAAAAATTACTTAGTAGTAAAAATAATTGTTTTTCTAGATCATGAATAAATAGAATACAAATAAGCATTGGCAGGTTTAGCAAAAATTCCATCCACAAAACGACAGTGTCAGTCTGATGGAGCTTTGAATAAAGTATGCAATTCTGACAAAAGTTATTTCTTACCAACTTGCAAGTAAAACATTTTTCCGAGTTGACACCATTTGAATATTACAGTCAACTATGAGAAATACAAATAAAACTCTAAACACAACCCTTGCATAAAATTGGAATAGATGATATCAAATGACTACTGTTACCCATCTAATATATACATGGTACTTTGTATTTATTTTCAGAGAATGGGAAATACCGACGTTCTAACAAATGCCAAAAAATGGGGAGCAAAGATAAAACCGCTTGAGCGTATCCTTTCATAGTGCCATCTAAAATTATCAGGAGTTTGATTTTAGAAATTTATTTGAATATGTGTATATTGGAATATACGTTGTTTATAAATTGCTCTTGGTTTCAAAAGACTGGACAGAAACAATTAGTGCAGTTACAATGTAGTTATTGCCTTAACAGACTTGTTTCACAGAGGTTGTACGTTTCATTACAAACTACAAGGAAAGACTGTCTAGGTCAAATACAAAGACCAAGGTAAGGAATGAACTTTTTTTTTGACTTATTACACTTGTGAGACGACTCAATATTTGCTACAGTTGTTATTAATATTCAAGTAGTTGAATGAACTTTGATTACTAATAAATTGGAAAGTGGTTGATGTTTTTCGTTTTTGTTGTAATATTGAAACCACTTGGTAAAGATAATAAGTTGAAGCTAGGTCTCTGGTACAACCGACAGTTTTGTTGGAGATAGCCATCAGGGAAAATTTCCACTGCACATTGTTTCAAATCAAATGGTGAATGTAAATACTGCTTAATTTATTAGTTGATTCAAATGTTATTCTGTTCATTGCAGAGCAAGCCTCCAAAGACTGCATCCCAGGCAAAGCCGTCACAAAAAGGTAGAAACCAAATTGATCTTTGGAAGAAATGTTGCAGAAAAAATTCCAAAGCTGAATCATGCAAAAATCATGTTCGTGATAACTGATATAATGAGATGTAAATGGATGATATATTAATTTGTAGTTATTCTTCTGTGAAAATCCTAGTTCACTTGAAATGACCTTTCCTGATTTTTATGTCTGCTTTCTCTGTTTCAGTTTCCATGCACAAAATGAAACGTCCATATTTGAAAGTTGAACATACTAGTCGGTAAGTAGCAGACACAACTAACGATATCTTGTGAATCTTGTTTTTTCTAGCTGCTTGTGAGCCCCTACACACGTAATTCAGTTTACAAAACAGTCATTTGTATACCAAAAGTCAGTTTGGTTGGGGTGCCCAAATTTTAAATGAAATTGTATGTTTGTGATCAAACAATGATTCAAGGTTTTCAAATATAGCATCCTCATAGAATTCAAAATGTCACCATTTTCAGATGTCGCACTATTATTTCGCTTGAAGTCAGAGCGGCTTTCACTGCACTCTAGTTGAGCACACTGTATTAGCTCTATTACTGGTACTGGGATAGTAGTGCATGTGATTATGTAAATGACAGAAGTATTTTTATCAAACTAAGTCATTTAAAAAAAACAATCATAATAAATGAAACATTTAGTTTATGTGTACTTAAAGATGCTGAAGTCGCTGGCAATGTTAAAAGGGAGATAGCAAGTTTTCTTATCAGTTTAGTTCAGGATGTGTTGTAATAGAATTTAATAGACCATTTTTAATTCACTGCAACATTATGAGTCCAAGTTTCAAGTATGTCCTTTTTAGTCCCCGTTCGGACGTAGTCCAAAAACGGGGACTTATGGTTTGCCCTGTGTGCATCCGTGCGTCCGTGATCACCTGTATCTTGAACATGCACGGGCCGATTAAGTTCAAACTTCACTCATACATCACACATTATATGGGACATATGCACATGCATTTTTTTCATGATCAGATTAACGATAGCCGAATAGCGGCTATTTTAAGGCCAACAATGCATCAAAATCACACATTT